TCAGATTAGAATTCATCCTCTCTCCCCACCTGTTCATTAAGCACCAAGTTCAAGGCAACTTCAGTGACTGATTGCACTTTAACAAGCTGTTTATAACAGAAGGTGTAGCTCAGCTAGTCAACATTTTTATACTTAAACATTAATTTAAGCATAATTTGCAGATAATATATTCAATTCACAATTCCAATATATAAAAAATACCTCTACCTTGAAGTATACTTTGGGGCATGACAGAGATGTGATGCTTCATAAAATTAAAATTTAACAAAGCGAATCAGATTGCACTTCAAGGTCAACAGAAGCGGCAAAAAAAGTCAAGCAGTAAATCTACTGTTTTATCCAGTTAAGAAAGATGAGAAGAACAGTAAGGTAGACAGTTGCACTACCAGGATACTTAAAAATCAGTACAGAGTACAGGGTGAAAAGCTTAAAGAAAGAAAATGTAAAATGTGCGTTATTAATAAATGCGCAGTCTTTAACATGAAACTAAAGTCTCTTCCTAAATCTAATTTTCCAAAGTCAAATAGCAGGATCAGTTTATGCATTAAGCAAGTCTAAACACGTGTTATTAGAAATGGATCTTTTTCCCAAATAGCATTTTCTTCAGACAGTGAGACAGAGCTACTATCAAGAAAGTAATTAAATGTTTGCCCTTTTTTAATTGTCTGAGAGCTATACATGATGCATTTCTTTAAAATACTACTGTCTGTTAACCTGTCAAGGAACAACATCTTCCTTGCATCTAGGTACTAACACTAGCTGTTGGAAAACCCAAAAGATGAAGTAGGACTCCTATATCAGGGTTCCACTTCATTCTACTAATACTACTGAACTAGCACCTTGATTGGCTCCTGAATCCCCACTGAGTTCTCAACAAGTATACTACAGGGAAATCCTTTACTTGGACAGCATGAGCAATGTGAATTTAAGTAGCATGTCAGTATTTAAGTGAACTAGGGAAAAAATATAAAATGGATTCGTTATTATGCCTCTTCTGTTTCTTGATCATGCCTCACTGACTTTTCTCAGTGAAAAAGTATTAATCTGTCCCTGGAAAAAATCCTGTTAAAAGGTGATAATTATGAGTTTTTCCCACAATGTAGGGCAAATAAAATTACTACTAATTTCAACTAATTTGGTTAGCCATGTAATTATCTTAATCCAGTTATTTAATGATAAGCAGCATGGTTAAAGCTTTATCAGAAAATACAGATGCTTTCAATGCCACATTAAAGAGCAGACAACACAGTCTGTGGATGAAGGGTTTCTAATTTGTGCCCATCCCAGAACCTAAATCAACTCACTACACGCTCTCTACATTATACTGACAGAAAGTGGGTTTGTCATTCGTTAACTGGAAATCAGCAAAAACGAATTACTGCATAGAAAGTCTGATATTTCCCACTACTGAAAATCTAGGAATCCAACTGTAATATCTACTTAATGGGAAAAAAAATTAATAGCCAAGGAAATATTGAGTAATTCCAGTATTTACAAGAAACTAAAAGTGGAATCTAGGGAGACAGCTGAATATTAGTTTTGAAATGGCTATATAAATATTTCATAATTTTGAGGTCAAATTGGGGTTCTCCATTTATTTCTGCATTTGTGACAACCTATTATAGAACAGTTGACTTGAAGTGACTAATAAGTGGACAAGATGACTATTTCCATCTTAGCCTTTATTATTATTATTATTGTTTTGATTTTCAGTACTGCTTAGAAGCTGCAAATGAAAACTAGGGTCTCACTGCACTCAAACCCATATGCACACACATATACAAGGTAAAGAATCTCCAAAGAGTTTACAGCCTAACTAATCAAGACAGCTAAAAAGTGTTAGGAAGAATTAGGTTATTTTGTTCTGCATTACAAGTATTGTGGTTTCAATTTTGCAATATTATCTCAGAAAGCTACACCTTCCACAAAGTACTTCTAATCAAGAAGAAAGGAGAATTACCTGTCAGTTCTAACATAATGTACCTTAAAAGAGTTGGGGGGGAAAATAATTGAGGGCAGTAACTTGTAAGATTGTATTATATGTGCCCGAACCACTTTTGGAGCCAAAATTAAACAACACATAGAAATGTTTAACCTGTTAAAAGGTCAGCTGTCACAGTTTTATTAAAAAAAAGAACATGCCTCAAGGAAGATTTTTTTCAAGTAATTACAGTGAAGAATGAAGCAGCAAAAATAATTTTCATATGAGCTTTTAACAGAATCCTTACAAAGGAAGATTAAGATAGCAGAATATCCAAGAAAAAGCACCAAAATGGATTGATAACTGGCTACTGAAAAGAGTATTATTAAACACACACCACAAACAATAGCTCTGAGAGGATGATACATTAGTGGGGGGTACTTTCTTTGCAAACAAGGAAGCAAGATATCCCTGAATATGACCAAAACTGTACAGCTTCACAATCGTCCTTTTAGTGGCATGATGAGATGTGACTTTAATGGCTTCACATCATGTCACAGTTTTCTGCTTGTAATCCAAAAGCCATTTCCATCTTTTTGGGGGTGGGGGGAAGGGGGGCATGGAGAAATGAAGGGAGAGAGGAGCAGGGGGTTGGAATACAAAATCATATTCAATTTGTTCATGATGTGGAACAGAACTGGAGCACAGCAGAGGGGAGCCTCCACTCAAACAACATTAACCAAAATGTGAAGATGCCTGACTGCTTTATCTATCTGTATAAAACCAAAAAGGAGAACTCCAGGTGCCCCACAACAGAGATATGCATTGGATATGCTTACCAGTGAAGAATTCAGCTGCATTTCCACTGAAGAGAACTCTAAATCAAAAGTTTCATGTATTTGCCAGGAATTCAAGGAAGAAACAAGACTATGTGATAACTACCAAACTGAGCAGCAGTAAAAAAAAAAATATTATCCTAAGTGACTTTAAAGAATGAATCCACCTATATCCTACAGAATCATCCCATTATCTAAGGCTACTGACAGATATAGAAAAAAAACAAAACAAAAAAGATGGCATTTTACCGGAAAAATAACAGTAACCCTTACTGTACTTAACAGTACAGGCAAGTTAAAGCACACGTTCTTACTTCTGTTTCACAGATCTTGAAAATAAAACACATACAAGTTAATTTTAGCAAGAAAAAAAATCAGGTCCCTAAAGAACTATCATATTTACCTGAATCCAACATAACCCTAAATTAAAAATGACCCCCGTTAATTAAACTCTATGCATGGAAAATGTATACATTTGTAATCATTTTCCATGTACAGAATCTAATTATGAGAAGATCATCTTAAATTCATCACTACCACCACCATTGTAGCAGGGGAAGCAGTGGTACTGGGGCAGGCAATGAAGGTCAAGCAGTAGGAAGGACAGTTTACACCCTGCTGCCTATCTCCCTGACACTTACCACCCCTTGTACTTGCCTCCATGCAGCCTCAGGCCCCAACTCTATCCCCCATCTCCCAACCCACCCCCAGTCCCCATCTTCCATCTCCCATCTTCTGCCCTGCCCCCCCTGTTCCCATCTCCCCCCACACATCATCTACCACTCCTGCACCCCTCCCCACCTTACCCTTGCTCTACACCATCAGGTTTCTTCCCTGCTCCAGCCCGAAGCCCAGAGCACAGCCCCAGCCTGGCACCATAGCAGCAGTGCTTGCTCTGTTCTGCTGCTATGAAGCTGGCCTGGAACTACGCTCTGTGCTCCAAGGCCAAAGCAGGGACCATCCACCAATTCCCACAAAAAGGGTTTAGGAGAAATTCAGTTTTTTAAAGAGAAACTGAATGCTAAGTCCTACGGGGCATTTTTACACGTGCTCTGGGAGTCGGGTGAGAGGACAGGTCACTTTAGAGTGAGAGCTGCTCTCAAGTGCCCATTGTGTCTCATGTATCGGCATCCCCACGCTTCAAAATGGCAAAATGGCTTTATCTAATTCTCACTGAACAAGCTTTAGTTAAAGCACTTACCACTGTTTTGAAGCATAAGATGCAGAGCCTGGTTAGAGCACAGTAATTACCATGCTCTGATGCGCTGTAATAATAATGAGTCAGAGCAGCCTCCCGGCCTGTGTATAGGAACCCAAGATTATATTATTTCTTTAGAGCTAAAATGGGTCCATCACAGGTAATAGATTTCCTTGTAATATTTACAAAGGCAATACCATAAGATACATCTTGGAAGTTACTGAGTACTAAAAAACTTACTGGGTATCAAAAACAGTTTTAAAAAAAACTGTTACATCCAAAACTAAAATGCAATATATATATATATATATATATATAGGAGATATATATTAGTGCCTACCTTTCCTAAAAAAATCCTCTTTAAACCTCTCTAAATGCTTTAGAAATCTACGCATAGTGGTAGTATGCCACTGAGGATCAACACAGACAACCCACATCAGATTTGGAAAGAGAGATGTCTCCCAGCCACTCAGAAAGTTCAGCCAACATCTCCCTCTCTCAGTTCCAATATCTCTGTTAAATGCAACTGTGACAGTCTGGCATTGGAGAAGAATCTCTTAATTAGGAAGGACCTACTTCATTTGGGATTTTTACACCTAATGCCACCATTTTAAGATACTGATTTGTGTGTGCATCTCTGTGACAGATACTCTCAAACAGAAGTTACCTGCTGAATTTTGTACTGTGTTAAATTTCTGAATGGATTGTAGGCATAACCCAACAGAGCACACCGCAGTAGAGTAAACTTCTAATTTTAATGTACAGCCCTCTAAAAAAAAATCAGCTATTCAAATCAAGAAAAAAAAATACAGATCATTTATCCCTTATCAAAACCAAGACTCAGTCAGCATTTTCCAATAATTCTTATTATAGTAAAGGTAAAGATTAGCTAACCAACCATACACAGATTATTAACTTCTTGAGCAGCAGTTTCTGTCAGGTTACAGTTTCCATAGGATAAACTCACCCTATGTAGAATTTCAACACTCCAAGTTTTAAATAATGCTATCACAATTTGTCATGCATGAAACATTTAAACACTTACCTGCATTAACTATGGCGTCCACCTCAAGCAGGGTAATATCACCTCTATAGAGAGAAACCTTCTCACTCAGACTTTTCTTCACCTGCAAAACTTCCTTAGTGTTTTTATCTGCAAGCCAAGGAAAACAGATGAAGAATACCAACAAAAGTAATACCTGTGCATTAGAAATTACACACATATACATACGTATGACAGTCAAAAGATTCCAAGCTATCTTTGCCAATTTAATAATAAAATCATCCTAATAGTCTGCACTGCTATAACACATTATAAATGGGCTATCATTCTTTCTGTGAATAAAAATAGGCATAGTACTATCTGTAGGTATTTTGCTGCACAATTATGCATTTGTTTAAATCACCGTAAGTTTGGGAACAACCATATAACAGTCCTCGAAGTGCAATTTTGAGCTGACTGTGCTAGGGTTCTCAATAAAAACAAAAATATTATTTTAAAACAAGCCACATTTATTGTCTGTAAGCCACAATTAAGTTTTGCTTTGAAAAACAACCTGTTTATACCTCAAAATACCGAGTATTTGTTATAATGACATTTTTCAATTTCACCTCTAGAGGGCGTGGCTAACCCAAAAAACCACTAGTTTCATTGCTATACCTATAATGTTAAAATTAACTTCTGGAAAGCCGGGGGGGGGGGGG